TATATTCCCGGGCGCAAATAGTTAGCAGGAAAGTACAGAAGCTGGCAACCCATATTGGCCCAAATTGATTCCACATCTGCCTAAGTCAACCACTCCTGCAGATACAAGCCTGCATGCTTATATTCTGTCTTCCTTGCAAGTCGGTATATGCAATTAGAGGTTGAAAATAAAGGGGTTATTTAGAGAAGAAAAGAAAAGAAAAAACAACTTAAAGGTTGCCCTGAGATTCAAATACTGTTGTGGGTTACTGGTCCCTCTTTGAAGAAAATGACTTTGCTAAGTCATAAAACATTTCAGCCCTGCTCACTTGCTCACAATACACAAAATCCTCCAGTGTGAAAATCTTGTTATAGTAAAAATCTCAACCAGCAAAACATCAGGGAAACCTCATCTATCTAGAACAAAGCTGTAAACAGAAAGCAAATACCAAAAAAGCCCTTGCAATTTATCCATACCAGACCCCCTCAGTCCACAGTAGAGGCTTTTACTTTCATTTGATGCCAGATTCCAGAGTCTTGGCTAACTGCTGTCCAATCTCACTGCAAACTGGAAGCAGCAAATTTAAGATGAAGCCAGAGCTGCTCCTTAGAGCTGCAAAGCAGGGCAGAGGGAGATAAGAACAATGGAAGAGCCAGAAACCCCACAACAGGGCAGGTAAACACCCCCTCAAGACCTCTCCCCCTCCATGCAGCAGACCCTGAAGCACAATAACACCCCAAGTCAGAAAGAGACATTGTGTTGTATTTCACATCCTTAACTTGAGGTGGAAATCACATGGGATACAATTTGGACGGATACCAGAGATGGTGCTCCCCGTTGTAAATCTAAGACCCCAAATAAATGCCATTATTTTCAGGCTCTTGTTTTTCTTGGTGCAGATCAGAAAATGGCTAAAATCGAAGAGAAAATGGAAAGGTTGCAAGTAGCAGAAACCCAATCTAAACAAGAAGGAAATTTATTATTAACGTGAGGATTAATCCAGAGCTAGTCTTGCTCCACACACGTTAGCCCCAAAGGCAGGCACAGCACCACCAGGACCTGGCTTCTGTCTCCTTTGCGTCTCTGTGGTGTTACTCTCCAGCCAGCTCCATCTTCATGGTGGCAAGGTGGCTGCCAGCAGCTCCAACCTTGGTGAAAAGCCACTTTCGTCTCGTCTGAGTGCACAACACACTCTAGCCAGCCCTGCTGTGCTTGGTGGGGTCACGTGCCATCCCGGATCCAACCCCTGCAGCCCAGAGGGCGCCCATCTTGGATACAAGCCTCCTTCTAGAGCTTGGCGTGACCCAAAGTAGGGAGGCAGAATGGGGGAAACTGGGGCCCTTGAGGGAGGTGTTCCCAAGACGGGGAGTATGGCAGTAGGCGAGGAGCGCAGCGATTGCCACAGGAGAGGGAAAACACGTGACGGCCCAGGTTGTCCTGCCTGCCCCTTTCTTGACACTCTGGGTACAATTACTTTTTACACTCAACGATGATCGTGACATGGCTTTTAAAAAAACGACAGTGACAATATGAAATAATTGTGTGACTCAGAGTTCACAATGACATGACTGAATTCTCTTTTTGTACCATTTGGTTTTCTGTCACTTGTAACCCAAAACTGGACATGCGGAGCGCCTTGGCGGTGGGTGTGGTGTGTGCATACAACGAGAGGGTGTGACCCTCTACCTCTAACTCACACCCACTGTTGTAACCCAATGTTAGCTCAATAAAAACAACTAAAATGTATTAACAAATACAAAAGAAAAAGAAAAGGTCTTGACAAAGCATCCTATATTTTCCAATTTATTTGAATCGTGTGCAGTCAGAACTCCAGGAAAGAGACAGCTCCCCACTGCTCCCCAACTCAATTGAGGAGTGGTGGCTTCTTGTTTCTCCTGTGTGTTCCGATGGTCAGGGTTTTGGATAGACCACTTAGCACGGTGGGAGCCAAGGAATGCAGGGCACCCTGCTGCTTCCCATCACCTGAGGCGCCCTGGCAGGTGACCTGGCTGCCACCTTCTGGCTATCCCTGCTTCAGGTAAGAGGCGCAGAGCTGGCGCCCCCTGCAGGTGTCTTCAGGAGAAGGCACAGGTGCCTTGGTGTGGCAGAGACCTTCCCACACACCAGGGTTGCCAGTAGTTGCAATTTCGTTACCAACAGGCAGCAGGAAACTGCAGAAGGAAGCCTGGGAGCTTGAAGTCCCCCCACCACAGAGCCCCTTGCAGAGCTGAGAAACCTCAGTGCTTTCTTCTGCCCAAGGCTCAGAATCCAGGAGCTGTGGGCAGGGGACTCAGTGGCCAGACACCCAGAATCTCTGAGCCCTGGGCTGGTGTGGACCTGAGAACACATTCATCCTTCAGGTTTCTAACTACAGTCTATCGCGGATCTGTAAAGCACAATAGACATCCTTATCAAAATGCCAAAAATACCAAATGGGGGCCCAAGTTTTTAGAAATCAGACTCCGTATCAAGAACAATTCAGTCAAACTGCTATTAACACTTGTAAATGCTGACTCTGCTTCTGTGCTTACCTGGCAGGGGCAGGTCAGCCTCACCTGCCTCCCTGTGTTTAGCGCCGCTCTGGGAAGAGTTGGGGGCTGCTTTAAAGCTTTCAGCTCACTTCCATGTATAGTACTTCGCATCTTCTAAATTAAGTGAAACCTATCAGCCAAATTTTATGGGGTGTCCACTCCATGGTCCTAAACTACCACTCTTTGCATCCTTTTCCCTACTCATTCAGCTGACTGCTGCTCCATGGAAACCCTGTGGGGGGGGGGGCCTGCTCAAGCCCCAGGGCCAGAGCACAGGCAAGCGCTGGTTCAGGGGACTCCTTCCCTCCCCCGAGCTCCCTGTCCAAGTCAAACCATCCTTCAGATCCGCTTAGCTTTGCTGACTCTGCACCTCAGTCTTTCACTGCTTGTCAGACTATTTCTCATGGTCTGTTCAAATGTCAGCACCTCCATCAATGGGAACAGCTTTCATTAGTCTGACCCCTGCATGGTTCAGATACTTGCTAGGTGCCTTGCACACAGCATTCCCGACTTCCCACCAATCCCTCAGGGTGTTTCACCATCGCTCCGGATACCTGGGCTCCTGCCACCAAATAACATGGTTCTCTGGATACTTTCCTTATTCCACAATCTGATACAACTTCTTTTCTTCTCAATCCAATCTTTGCACCTTTGTAAGGGCTTTATTGAAGCATGACACACGTTTAGGAAAGTACACCCCTTTTTACTGCTCAGATATTCAGACCCAATAGACACATCACCTGCACCCAGGTCAAAAACCAGAAGCTCTGAGTGCCCTGAAGCTGTCTGAGCCCCTTCCCTGTCACCACCACCCCCCTTTCCGAGTGCCATTGGGCTGAATTCTAACTGTATAGCCTAGTTTTCCTGTTTTTTATTTTTATCTAAATCGAATCTAGAAAGTATACACCCTAAAAAAATTGAAAGTGTGTGCTCTTGCAACTGACCTGGATCATTCAGCACTGGATGAGATTCACTGCTTTGTTGCTCATCTCCCTGCTGTAAGGGATTCCATTGTATGAAAAGGATCACGGATCATTTATTGTTGGACTGTTGATGGGTAACTGGGTAGCTTCCAGTGCTGCTCTGAACATTCCAATACTGCTCTGCACACACCAGTACATGTCTTTTAGTGAACTCACTGATGTATTCTGCTGCGTCAAGTTGAAATGCATATGTATATCAGCAGCAGATATTCTGAATTTTACTTCTTAAATTTTTTAAAATTTATTTATTTATGCATACAAGAACTGGGGTACAGGCCAGAGGTAGGAGGGGCGGACGGTGAGAGAATTCACCTGAGACAGAGTGGGGAACAGAACAGGTGGATTGACTGAAACACACTTCTGAAGGGAGCAGCAGGCGAGTCAGGAGAGGTCTGCTGCACCATGTGGGTCACCTCCCTGGCCGGGATCGAACTCATGCTACAGTGGCTGTAGATAGCTTCATAGTGCTGCATCTTAGCCCCTTGGGCCACCAAAGAGGCCCAATATTCTGAACTTTAAAGACACTTTTAATATTCCATATTAATCTTATTTGTGAATGTATCTCATTTTCCTTATAGGATTATCAGTGGTTTTATGAGTGGTTTTGCAATTGAGTAAATACTACCAAGTATTTACTAATGTGATAAGCCCTGCTTCATTTCAAAAATGAAGAATCTAACATATAAGAGAAAACAGAACTGAGAAAGCAGCAGGGAGAATAAGGGTAGGCAGGGAGGGAAGTACGCAGAGAGTGTAATGGCCCAAATACATGCCACACGCTCTTGGGTACTTTTGAAAAAGCTCAAACACAAATATGGTGGCGTTTCCTATTGGCCTAGACAAAGAGGGAAGCTAAGTTATATAATTCAGTGCCCACAGGAGAAATGCCCACTTCCCAGCAGTGTGGCTATTTCTGGTTCTGAGATTTTAAAAAATGTCAACGTAAGTCTTCCTAAGAGGGTATTGTTTGACATTAAAAATGAAGGACCCCGGGCCTCCCTGGTGGCGCAGCGGTTGAGCGCTGGGTTGTGAAGCTGTCCGCAGCTCTGCAGCGCCGGTTTGATCCCCAGCCACCAGGCGAGGGTCCCACATGGAGCGCAGACCTCTCCTGCCGCCCGCTGATCCCCTCAGCAGTTTATCATCAGTCTGCCTGTTCTGTTCCCCGCTCTAGCTCTGGTGAATTCTCTCACCCTCTTGCTCTTCTGACTGTACCCAGTGCTTGGATAAATAAATCAATCTTGAAAAAAACAGAGTAACTTAATAAAAAAAATGGACCCCCAAACTTCGTAACTATAGTAAGAAATTTTATCAGTCTCTTCCCTCTCCCCTCTGTGCGCTTCCTCAAAATGAGAAGCCAAAGTGTAGTTCACTATAAATAATTCTTTGAGGGAACTAATACCAGAAGGATCTAAACCCAAGAGAAAAAAGCTAGGCTCAAACTGCGGCCCAGGGACCTGTTGGTGTCTCTGAAACCTTTTCAGGAGGTCAAAACTATTTGACACCACTACTGAAGCTTTTTTGTCTTTTTTACGCTCATCTTATTATGGTGTGTACAGTGGAATTTTCCCGAGGCCACAGGATCTGTGAAATAGGAACAGGTTGAAAGCACAAGCTTGATATGATTATCTAGCTTTTATTAAACCAGGCATTAATTTGCAGAAGAAACACTCTGGAGTTCTTAAACATTTTTGAAGAGTGAAAAATGGTCCTGACACCAAAAAAATTAGAGTACTAGTCTAGAGGAAGGTTTCCCCACAGGAAGCTGCTGGTGACTAGTTCTAGAAGAGAGTCAGGGAAAAATGTTCTGTGAGCCAATACATTTGGGAGATGTTATGCTTCTCTTGGAAATCACAAATCAGAAGCAATAGACCAATTAACTTTCACTGTTTCCTAAATGCATTTCACTGAGACCCCCTATGCAGCTCCTTCACGATCACCCAGGGGCACTCGGGCACAAGTGGGCCAGCCCTCCCTCCTCATTCTCAGCAGCTCACAACCGGGCTTTTGTCATGATTGGGCAGACTCTGCTGTTACTCCTCTGGCAGCAAGAAAAGTGATTCTTTTATAAACATGAACACAGTTGAACAAGACAGACAGTGCTCTTATCTCAACCAAGAGGTGGACCACGGGCAGGGTCAAAGCCAGTTCACTCAGGAAGAAAAACCAAGTCCATTCCACCCAACAGACAGGCAATCGAGGTCCCAGAGTTCTCCATTACAACAGACATGGTCATTTTCTTTGCCTGGACATCTTCCAAGGCAGATGGTCCCCATGATTGCCTCAGTCCTAAAGAAATCTCAATTATGCCCCCATAGAACGTTAGACTTTAAGTTACACAGCTTCCTGTTGTCCCCTCCAAGGAAAACTGTGGTCAAATGTACCCCAAATGAGTCAACTTTCTTTTATTGGGTAGTTAATGCTAAGTCAACTAAATGTTAGGGGATGCCAACCAAACGTGATGACTTTGGTTTTGCAACTATCAATCTTGTTTCTTTTGGACAGTAATTACATAATTGGGCCAGTTGTATGTTAAACAAATTCCCCGGTTCACAATAATAAAATGTCATCAGGAAGTTCATCTACAGAGAGCCCACAGTAATGTCAAGGCACTTGGGAGAGCTAAAAATGAAGATGTCTCTTGGAAAGTATATATTCTGGAGGAATAAAGTATTCTCACATGCATCTCTGCACAGGTGGTGAGCTTCCCACTAGGGAATCAGCATCCAGTAAACACTGGTCTCGACCAGTTTGCTATTTACCTTTACGTTTTTTATTTGCATACAAACTGACAACCATCACACGCACATCGACTAGACAAATATAATCCAGTCAGACAGACTTCTTGGTACAATTTATGAGCTCATGAAAAAGGATTTACAAAAGAAACCTTACACCCCATTGTAAAGGAAAAAGAAATCATTTTAATCTATACATTATGACTTGTTAATCCAGCATGATCTCTACTCCGAATGCTTACCACCCCCCTCCTTAGCTTGATTTGCTTCATATCTATTTCCAACGTGCAGCAATCTTCAACAAGATAGTCAAGCTGAATTGTTTATTCTTAAAAAGTATGAGATACTTTGTCCTCAAAGAGTTTTATCAAGTTTAACAATTTCAAAGAGCCCTATGAGGCTGCTCAGCATGGTGGTTTTTCACTGAAATTTCCTATTTGAAAGATGGCAAAACAGACTTGGATCTTCCCAAGTCTGCAGGCTGCCTGTATTCATATCACAGCTCCGCTGGGTAAGTAGTAAAGGCTGAATAACAAGTAGGTCTCCTCCAAACACAGCTGGGTGAGAGAGCAGCATTTTTAGAAAGTAAACGGAATCATGAAAACCTTCCTAATCGTGTGATTTGTTCCAGGGCTCTGTGGAGACTTAGGAAGGGAAATATGAATCCTTGTGGGCAGTACTCTTATTTACAGAGTTTTCTTCTCCAGCCGTCATTCCATAGCGAGGTGACTTATTGTACTTGCTGCAGAATCCAAAGCATGAGGATGTCTACTTTCATAATCAGAGCTGGTGATTGCCTTCTCACTTCCTGCCAAACGGATCAGACCACACTTTTAATCCTATGGAAAGAAACATGAATAAAAACAGGATTTGTTTTTTTTAAACTTGCAACCATTTCCCTCAACCCAAACAAACAAAATGACATCAGACCTGAGTTTTGCAATTTACATGTGGTTTGCGATAGTGCAGGCAGGCTGCCGGGACCCTGGAAGGGAACAGCTGGGAAGCCCAGGCAGCCATAAACTTTTAAATGGCTCAGAAATTAACCCACCACAGGAAGATATGTATCTGGCCTAGTTACATAAATAAAAAAGAATGTGGCCACAGATTACAGGAGTTTGGGTTAATAAACTGGAAACCTCTCATTCTCAGCCAACTTGGATCATCTTAAAGTAACTAACCATTCAGCCATAAAGGGAACTTTTGAGCTTTTCTACAAAGTAGAATCCCGCATCAATTAAAATAGCTCAGAAGTAAACAATAGTTTCCCATGAGGGTAGTGTTTAAATAGGTGCCTGGTAAATAAGTCTGCAAACAGCTCTTCAGGCTTCATATTTTAACTGTTACATTTTTATACCCACTTATCAAATACAAAAGAGGAAAGTGCAAATTTGCAAGCAATATTCCAAGTGAAATACTAAAATGAAGTCGTGGGGTGGCACCTATAAAATGGCAACTGTTGTGAAATAAACAGCAAAACTGTAATGTGTCCTCCAAGCTAAAAAGCATTTTCTGTTTCCCACTGCAGTGCAAACACACACAAGCACAACATGATGCTTGAGTGAGATTCTGGTGTCTCTAAGTTTACCTGGTGGCTGCACATTTTCTTGAACGATACCTGCTCGATTTATGGCTTGTTCTCTCTCTGAGAAACACAACAAAAAAAAAAAAATGCTCTTTAGTCAGAAGAGTGGCACGGGCAGCAATGGTGGAAATCTTTGTACTTACATGGGACAGTGACATGGGACAATTAGAAAATGACTTCTACGAGTGCTCTTAAATTGGAAGATGCCATTACTCCGAGCTTTTGGGTTAGGGAAGTTAAATCCTATAAAGCAAAACGACTGGGGATTTTCAGTAAAAGCAAGCAAGCCATACTTCAAAAGAAAAGCTCCCAACATCTTTTCTTGGTGATCTCAGCATTTTGGAAAGGCAACAAAACAACAGAAAAAGAACAATTTGGAGAGAACTAGTGGGCGTGATATTATGAGGAGAAGGCTGCTGCACTGAAGGAACAAGTACAATTAACAGGAAAACGATGTAGTTTATATGTCTAAAATGTACTCCGTTGAAGGACTAGCCCCAGAGCTAAATATGCTATGTTTTTGATAGGAAATAGAGCAGAAAATTAATCTTTGGGTGGGTGGCTTTGGTTTGGATAATTGAAGCTTCCTTAATTGATTGCAGGTGCTGTGCCAATTAGCAAGCACATTTCAGCTCCGGCAGCTTAGCCCAGCTCGTTGGAGATGTCACCAGGCCAGGGCCAAGAGAAACTGGGTATTTTATGTGTGAGCTTATAGCACAGGGACATCTTTCTAAGTGGTGTAGAATAAACCCAGGGTCTGTGAAAACAAAGCCTTATTATTTTAAGTATCTTGACAAACAAATGGCAGCTTTTCAGGAGAAAGACTGGAGCCAAAGGATGTTTACTACTAAATTATAGTAATTAAATGTTGTAATCAGACCTTTATTTTAATCAGGCTGACAGTGTTTCTTTAAATCCACATTTAGCTCTTATTTAATATTAGGCGGTTTTCTCTATTCTGGCCACTGGATTCTCATAAAAGTTACGCAAGCATAAAGTTACAAGAAACGGTTTTGTCAAATCGAATATTCATTGAACTGGCTTCTGCAGGGATGTGACAGAAAGTCAATCCTAAGTGAACCACCTGATAGTTTTATCAATGCTGAGTTTTGCTTGGGCAAATAAAACATGGGCAATAGGGATTATATGAATCCTGATATCCAATTTGAAGAGCGACAGCGAGAAGACAGAGCATAATGAAGCCCATTAAATACAAGGTCTGATGGCTTCACCGGGCCTCTCTGACAAGCTGCAGGTGAACAGCAACCAAGACACTCTGGCCCAAGCGATGCCAAAAGAGACTTCTTCCATTTAGAGAGGATGATAATGGGCCTTGAAGGTGTTGGGCTTTCTCAAACAACTCAACAAACACTGATCTCATTTCCTAAGACGTTAACATTCCTGGAGGATCGAGCCCCACCACACTGTCAACATGTCTCAAAATACGAAGTGTATCTCAAACGTGCCATCATCGATCGTGCCGGGTACAAAAATAGAATTTCGGAGACCTGAAAGGCCCATCTGCCGATATTATGGTCGAGGGAAGAGATAAGTTTTAAAAAATAATTGACTGCCAGACCTAACACAGTAGACCTACAGACTTCAGGCAATCAGACATCTTGGTGTACCGAACACATTCTCCATGAGGCAGGTACTGCAAAACCAAAGAGGCTGGCAGCCTGCCAAGCATCAAAGGCAGTTGACTTTTAGTGGCAAGGACAGAATGCCTAATTGTATTCTAACCTCTTAGGATGCAATGGAGAACCAAGTGAAGAGAAAGGAATCCCTTGTCTTCACACTTTCTTGCTAATTGCTAATGAGGTTGGAGAGAGACTGCGGATTTATTTTAAATAGACCATAATCTCTTTATAATCCTTGTCCTTATGCAACCACCTTTTTTTGGCTTGGACAGGCAATTTAAATCGATTTGCAGAACCAGTTCCTACCAAGTGATAACTGGGTATTAGCATCCTATCTACATCCCCTGATTCTTTAATCCATTAATGTTTTATAAATACTCTGAGGCCAAATCTGTCTTATATAAATTCATGATATGACACAAAGACACTTTATTTGTGAATGCAGAATATGCTAAAAGGGAAACAAACCGGTCCCCCGGGATTTAGCAAGCACATCTTGATGAGGCTGACAGTAGGTTTCTATTTTGCTCTCATTAGAGAAATAGCAAATGTCTATAAACCTTGGGAAAAGGGCAATGCAGAAGTCAGGGGTTTAACTATGTGAACAAATCAGGATAAGCTAATTACTGACTTTAAAGTTGTGAGCACGTTTCCATCAGGAGTGAAATGATTAAAACATAAACAGGAGGCCCCTGGCCTGCAGCCTTCAGTGCCGGTGAGCAAAAGCCCCACTCCAGCGTGTCAGCAAGCCCGACTCTGCCCCCTGGTGCTAAGGCAGGGGTTTGATCTCTAGTTTAATTGAGGATTGATGGGCATCTCCAGCCAAAGGGTTGAGGAACGTTACTAACACTGGTATTACAGCAGACTAGCTCTGGCTCATTTCTGCATGGCAGTAAAAGAATGCACCTAGCAGTTTTGAGGTCTTTGAAAATGAAAACATATCCTATTCGCAGCCCACATTGTAAAATGTATCTACTGTGACGTGTTACTCTATTTAACATTCACAACAACTCAAAGGAATACAGTATACCCAACCCCAGACAGTGGTCGCCAAACCCACTAGTTGGGGGTGCCTTTTTATTTTTTTTTTTTTTTTTTTTGCGGGGTAGGGGCTGGGAGAGACCCTGTGGAGGAGAGAGAGGGACCAGCAGAAGGAAACCTGAAAGCAGGCGTGAACAGGACCTGAGAGCCCAACCTGTGAGACCCCAACTCAGGACGCACTCCCTCCTATTTAAGGACAGTTCAAATAAAAGGTCCTCACAATCTGAAGCAATTGGACAAATGGCAACATCTGAATACACACTGTGTACAACACAATAGCATTACATCAATATTACATTTCCTGGATTGGATGGTTATGACTATGTAAGAGAACATGCTTATTCTGAAAGGAAACACACGCTAACTGTTTAGGAATGAGTGCTGTCTTCAGCTTATTGTCAGCAAAATACCAGTCACAGTCACAACAGGCGTATCTAATTATGTATGTAAATGTGTGACTACCGGTATGTATTATGTATGATATATAATACATATTACCTTCAAGGAGGATGTAAATGCGGCAAAATGGTAAGAACGGGTAAATCTAGGCGAAGGAGAGACAGTAATTTATTCTGTTCTTAGCTGTTTTCTGTTTCCATTTTTTTTTTTAATAACAAAAACACATAACTGCAACACAGGCGTAAGAAGTCCAGCGGCACAGCCACTGCTCCATGGCGATGACCGCAGAGCACCTTTTTTTAAATGGCAAATATCAAATTTAAGGACTTCAGGGCTTCCACTTGGCTGCCATTACAGAGATTCATATATCGTCTGCGTGGCGTGGACCGGCAGCGGAGGGGGACCCGGTGGCCGCCTGAAGCAGACTCCCCGCCACACTGCAAACACATTGCTTTTGCCCTGGACTGGGCTGAGCCAGACAGCTTTGTAGAAAATGAAATTTCCCAATGGTTAGAAAAGAAGATTTTAGCCTGTGCATTTCCTTGACTCTGCGCTCATGTCCAAAGCGCCTGGTGTGTAACAGGAAGAACGGCCTTCCAAGGCAGGGGTCATGTCCACATGGGGGATTCTTGTATTGGGTTCTGACTTCCAGTTAGGAACAATAACCCACCAGCTTTATGGTCTTTTTTTTGCTAAATCCAATGGACACTTTCACTAATCCTTCTTACGGCCTCCGAGCAACCCAACCCTGCTGCCCACACCCCTTCCTAACTAAGCCCTGCCTTCCTGGGGCTGGGTACTCCAGGCGCATCTGGTTTAAGTCTTCTGCTCCAGCCACGCCTGCTCGGTCTGACCTCTTGGCCCTGACCACTTGCTCTTCAGACCTCTTCAGACCCCCACCCAACAGTTTCACCAGCGCTGTCCCGGACAGCTTGTCTTCCGATCTCTGAACACTGCCAAGGAGCCCTTAGCTACTTCTGTGACGGATTCCCATGCAGGCTGTGGGGACACTGGCTCTCGGCTCCAGGCTGGCTCGTCCCCTAGCCTAGGGGAAATGCCAGGAGCACACCAGGATACCTCAAACTGAGCACATCTGAAATTAAACTTGCCTGTGCTGTCACCCCCTGAAACCAATTCCTTCTTGTGATTCTTAATGACTCAGCTGCTGTAGCCACAAAGCTGGGTACCATTTTTTTTCCTCTCCCTCGCTCATCCTTGTGACCAGTCACTATATATCCCTATAGCTTGTTTCTTAAAATCAACTGCTAAATTCAGCACTTCTTCCAGTTCCAAAGCCACAACTGTGGTCAGGCTGTCACCTGTAGTGGCAGGAATGGACCACAGTGCAGGTTTTCTGATCCCATGCAGACCGGGTAAAGGAGGAGTCAGAGCCCTCAGGGGTTTTGCAGGTCTTTTATTTGGGGTTCACCAGGCATATGCAGGTAGGGGTGCTGGGGGGCCGGGAGGCTGGCAGTCCTCCCAGCCCCCAGCAAGTCTTCACTCTATCTGGGCTCTCCGGTGATCTCTCTCTCTCGGCTTCTCTTTCGGTCTCTTCTGCTTCTGCTGGCGTCCCTGTGACGCCGCCCTTAAAAGCACAGTCTTAGGCCCGGTGAATCCCATCTACCTATGCCCACACCCTGTTCCAGGTGCCCGCCATCAGGCATGCATTCAGGACCGCAAGGATCCATCATCTATCCTGATGGCGGGAGGGCAGAAAAGCCTGACATTTTTCCTTACCCTACACACCTCTCCCTGAGATCACAGAAGAACAGCTTTCTTGTATGTGGCTGTTTGCCTCCAGCCTGGACCCTTCCAGCTCCTGCTTCACATATAGCCAGTCATGCCTGAAGAGTAAATCTAATCACCTTGCTCTCCTGATAAAAATACTTCAATAATCCTCCGCTAAGTTGGCCCTGACAATAACAGAGGGTTAAGGAATTATTTTTATCAAGCAAGTGAGAAGATCAAATTCAAAGAACAAACGGCTTGACAACAGACTTCAACAGCCACGGCAGAAGAGCGGGAGAGCAGCACTTTTTTTTTTTTTTTTTGACAAATCAGGATGAATGTTTCCAGTTACAAATACCCAACAAAGGGACATTAACAAATATACTTCAGCGTGAAGAAAATTGAAACCAGAAAGCAGTGAGATAAAGGGAGGATTGGTGGGTAAAGAAACCAGTCAGTGACTGTATAAAACACCCAGGGGAGTAAGCGATTTGGGGAGAACTAAATATAAGGAAGGCCTGATTTCTTTATTTTTTCTTTTTTTTTTTTTTTTGCACAGAAGAACTTCCAGTTCTTCTCTGGTGTAGACCAGAGAAGCAGGGGGTGAGAGAATTCACCAGAGACAGTGAGGATCAGAACAGGCAGATTTACCAAAATATACTACTAAGGGGGTGAGACAGGAGAGGTCTGCTGTGCCATGTGGGTTAGCAACCTGCCCAGGGATCAAACTCCCTGTTGGCGCCCCATTTTTAAACATTTTTATGGGATGCCTAATATAAGACTACACTAAGTGTTTTCATACCTGTTATCTTACTTAATTCACCCTCAACCCTGTAAATTCATAAATTCCAAAATTACAGATGAGGAAAAGGAGGGGCTCAGAAAAGTTAAGTCACTTTCCTTAGTCCTCATCTAATAAAGGATTTAGGCCCTTACTTGTCTACTCTCTCTTACTCATCCCCTCAGAGAGGCAGTAAGGAACCGTGATGTGGTGATTAAGGACACTAGGTCAAATCCCAGCTGTCACTCATCAGCTATGAATCCTCGCGCAAGTTCCTCGACTGTTCCACACCCCTGTTTATCCACATGAAACAGGGATGATGATCACAAAGCAGCTACCACAAAGGATTATTCTGAGAACGAAATGGAGTAGGATATTGTATGCATTACTAGGGGCAGTGCCAGGCAGAATAAACTTTCAATAAATACTAGCTGCTTAGTATTATTTGCTTTTTAAAGAATCAGTATGACTCATAGAGAAGAGTTGGCCAAATTAAATTGGAAAAGTGAACTGAGCTAGAAAAGTGGTAAGGCGCAGACTGCCTTCCAGTGGTAAGGCGCACACTGCAAATGTGGTAATCACATGAACTAAATGTTCACTGAAAATGCCTGATTTATCTGTCTCAAGTGACTCAGACAACCAGATTCTGGAGTATCCCCACACGACTGTTGTGGGGTTACATAGCACAAACCCACACTCTTAACCTTCCCATCTAGAACAGGGTTTCTCAACTTTGGATCATTTCACATCCTGGGTGTAGGGTAAAGAAAATGTCAGGCTTTTCTGCCCTTCCGCCATCAGGATAGATGATGGATCCTTGTCCTGAATGCATGCCTGATGGCGGGCACCTGGAATAGGGTGTGGGCACAGGTAGATGGGATTCAACTGAGCTAAGACTGTGCTTTTAAGGGCGGCATCATGGGGATGCCAGCAGCAGCAGCAGCAGCAGCCGCCGCCAAAGCCGAAAGAGAAGCCGAGAAAGCAGCAGCAGAAGCCGAAGAGAAGCCGAGATCACCAGAGAGCCCAGATAGAGTGAGGATTTGCAGGCCTCCCAGCCCCCCAACCCCCCTGCCTGCCACGTACCCGCTGAACCCCAATAAAAACCTGCAAAACCACTGAGGACTCTGACTCCTCCTTTACCCAGTCTGCTGGATCAGAAAACCTGCACTGTGTCCGTTCCTGACCTTTACACTGGGTTAGTTAATTTTTTGTCGTGGGGAACTGTTCTGTGCCTTGCAGGAAGTTTACAGCATTCTTGGCCTCTACCCACTAGATGCCAGTAACACACTCTCACCATCCTACCCCATCGCCAGTGGTGACAAGATACAGAACCAAAAGTTGCCTGGGGGACATCAACCCTAGCTGAGAGCCACTGCTCTAGACTTTGTAATTGAAACTTTTCTAGTTAAGTGCCAAAACAGACCCTATTTTCCCAAGCTCAACTCTAGAGGGCGTAATAAGATAGCCTGGGGCAAGGATCCTGTAAGGAAGGCTGATGGAAATAGATTATGCAGGGCTTCTCACAGCCCTGTTTCCCCTATACAGGGTGTAAGAAGATAGGCAGAATGCACAGAGGCCATTTCAATTTTGGCTGATGAAAAGCAGCTACAAGGAAATTTGAGTGTGTACTTAAAATGCTCTGCCTCCAGAAACCAAATGCTGTAGCATTTGTAATGGGCAAAGCATTTACACAGAGCTTTAGCCTTCAAATCGCCAAGCTTTCAGCCTGCATGGATATTCTCAAGGGGCAGGGTTGGCCCTCTTCCATCTTCAAGATGATTCAGGTTTCCTGGAGAACAAAATGAGCCTCTAATGCCTAATATTTTCTCTCTGACAGATGGTTTCAGATGTATCAAAGTGGTAATCCTCACTGAGGTATAGGTCTCCAGGAAGGAGAGTTTGGCTTTTAGAATGATAGGACTTGAATGATTAAGGAGGGAAATTACTCCCAGGTTATTTGCCATTGTCATGTGAGCAACCAGATTAAAATGAGGGAAGATAGCACAAGCTGAAAAAAGGTTTCAAAAGGAAAGGAAAAACTCAAAAAACCCAGGCTAACAGTTTAGGTTTGAAACATTTGCACTCAAAGACATCTCTGGGAGTGGAAATGACGTGCAGTAAATTATCTTCAGGCCCAGGACGATTAGGGCCCCGTCTCCCTCCCCTCCCCAAACATCACCCTTCCCCAGTGCAGAAGAAACGCTGGAGACGGGGCTGGGCTGGAACAGAAGCGCCGTCACTGACGACCCGTGGACCTGGGGCATGTTCCACCATCTCTGAGCCTCAGTCTCCCCATCTGCAGCAAAATGGGTCGCACCTACCTCAAAACAAGGCGTGTAAATTAAACAACTCAAGCACGCCTGACCTGACACATAGTCGGGGCTCGGCGAACGTTCACCACGAGCAAGAACTAATGTTTAGTGTCGACCTACTATGTGCGTGTTGCTTCCATGACCACCTTTGAGTCTAGCCGGTTTCACCTTAGATGTCCCAGAAACAGGTGCTGACTAGAGAGCACGCTGCGGGCCAAGAGGTGGCGTCACTCGCCCGCGACCACAGAGTAGCGCAGAGCGGGGCCCACGCCCGGGCCCGCGGCCGGCCCGGGATCGCGCCCCCGTCAGCGTCCCGCGCGGAGGCCACGAGGGGCGCGGGCGGGGCGAGGGAGTAACTAAGGCCAGACCGCCGCGGGGTCAGAGGTCACTCACGGTACTCCTCCCGCATCATTAGGGGCCGGAAGTAGATGGGGTAGAAGGCGGCGCCGATCAGGGAGACGAAGCCGCCGAAAATAAAGGCGGTGCGCAGGTTCCGGGACATGGCGCCGGGTCGGGGCAGCCTGACCCGCCGAGCACCCGGCGCGCCCAGACTCCCGCTCCCGCCGGCCGGGCCGTGACCCCGCTCGGAAGAGGAGGAGCGGCTTTCGCTTCCGGGGCCGGGGGGCGGGGCCTAGTTCTGGTGGTGGGCGGGGCCTAGCCGTGAGGGCGGGACCTGGCCCTGGTTGGTGGGCGGGGCCTAGACCTGGGTGGAGTCGGGAGGGGTGTGGCCTCGGAGCCGCGCCCCGCCCTCCCCGCGCGCAGGCCGGTCTCCGGCGGCAATTTGGGGTGGATTTTTTTGTTGCTCTATTTTCCGCGGCTGCTATTTCAGCCCAGCCCGCCTGCCCTGCTCTCGACCTGCTTCCTCCCTCAGCCGCTCCCAACACGACTCTCAGATCTTTTTCTCATTTCCCAACCACTGTCTTCCTTGTTCCCCCCATGATGTGATTTTCGTGCTTGCCAGGGGCCAGATGGCCTGTGTGGCCTGGTCACTTAATCCTCTTATCAGTCTGCCCATTTTCCAGAAGAGGAAAATCCAGTTTGGCTGGTAGTTTGGGATAAGTCACTTGTACTCCTTAAGGCGGGTTCGGAGGAATTGGAGACCAAGGGGCAAATTGCCTGGCCAGGATGGCCTCAGGGGGTTTGCAACCCGAGCACAAGCTGTTCTGGACAAGCACTGTCCTGGGAGGAATGCTGTTGCAACATCCGAGCTGCAAGTTGCTCGCTTCTGGCTCCGTTTTTCCCTCACCTCCTCTCTCCCTGTGTCCTCTGCTGGATGTCGGGGCCAGGACTCAGGTGGGAGACAAGGGCAGAAGAAAGACTGGGGAGCCAGGCCACTGAAGGGAATTTGGGGCTCTGCCTTATTGCCCTGGTGGGAACCACGGAGGACAGATTTGTGCTTCCTTTTCCCACTATTGCCATCCTGCGCGCTCCCAGGTGGGCTCTGCCCATATGTGACCTGCCCAGAGGCACTGGGCAACAAAGACTGAGATTTCTTTGGACCTTTTGTTCAATCCTTATCCTAAAAAAGAGCAATACCAGCAGCCAGGGGCTGGGAGCAAGGAGAATATTTATCTCGACCCCAGCAGCATTATTTAGTCTAAGAAAGATCTACAGTCTTTCAGAAATAATGTAGAGGGCACGTGTCCTCTTCCTTTGTAGTTGTGTAGTTGAATCAAGTCGGCATCTACCTTTGTGGTTCTGGGAGCATATAAATCAGTTGTCCGATCTGTCAGCAGATTTATGGACTATCTGCCATTCCCCAAGCATCAGGCAAAGTGCTCCAAGGGATATGCAGATGAATAAGATGTGACCCTTGCTCTCCAGGATCCTGCCACGTAGATAAAGAGACGGGACATATACATAAAAAGGCAGCTAATGACCCAGCACAGCCCGTGCTGATGAGTAATGCCGGCTGCAGAAATTCCTGACTGGTGAAGCAGCTTATCCGCAGGCACTGGCGGGAGCTGGTTAGGGTGCAGAGGAAGCCTTTGTAGCCAAGAGAGAAACTGACCAGGCTTTATAATACGTGCTGTAAAATACCCAGGCATGGTGCACCCCAGATATGTTTTGGAGAATCTCTTCTCCCATTCTCAGTCCATGAGGTAAGCTGGGACTTCCCCCCTATCCCAATCCTTACTTTTCCTGAGCTCTGCATATAACCGCACTGGTGCAAGCACACTCACCTCAGGGATTGATCACCCACTGTTCTTGCACACTTCTGGTCATCTGACTCAAATTGGGCCACCCATAGGCTACCCCAGAGCTGCATTTGAGCTTGAGGGAATGAGACATTGGAGTGACTGAAGGCCACTCCTTAGAGACTGAGAACGAGGGCCATAGAGCAGAAGGAGAGCTCGGAAATGGACAGAATCAGATGCCGCCATTACATTTGAGTCCCTGAAGCCAGCTGTGCCTGAAAGGGGATCTACTCTGGACAGATTCTCAGTGACAAGAACTGATATAGTTAGTCCCTGCTACCCTGAAGCTAGTTTGAGTTGGGTTCTGCCTTTCACAACAGAGAGACTTCAGGTGGAATTACCATGAGTGTGATTTCACTTGCTTGACGCCATCAGGAGCTGCAGATCAAGGATGACCCTATTCTATAGATAAGATTGCTGAGAACCAGGTATGTTGACTCTCTTAGAGGCACAAACCATTGGCTGAACCAGAAGCAGGGGTTAGCTCTTGTGATTCCTAATCTCACCTGCTCCTTCTTGACATCTTGTCCTGACAAGCAAGCTTGGGAGGCTTAGCCTTCCACAGAGCCTCTGGAAGGTTGAATGGCTGCCAGGAGAATGCAATGGCCTGGTGAGGTACCAGCAGTGCCTCTAAGACAGTGACAGGACCCTCATGGGGCAGATGAGCCCCACACCCACCCCCAGGTGATCTGGTAAATAACTGCTGGTCCCTCTGTGCTCTCATGCTGATCCAAAGATTAGCTTCACCAGGGTCCAGGCTACAATCTACACAAATACGATAATCGATAGGAATGGCATGGGCTACGTTATTAGCAACATCACACCAAAAAATAGTTGGTGATTGATCACCAATATTTTCACTGAGTTCTACCAAATGCAAGTTCATCTCTGATTCCAGTATTCCCCTTTTATGAGAATCCCACTGACCTGTAAATTCAATCAGCAAATGCTTACTGTGTACTTGCTCCAGGCAAAGCTCTGTACTACTTGATTGGGAACACAAAAAGGAAGCAGTCAACATTTGTGGATCCTGCCACGGTTCACTGTGTGAGACTGTGTGCCGGCACTTGTGAGGTGCTGGTGGATACAGCAGTGAATTGACAGCCGAGTCTGTGGTCCTCATGGCAGCTACAGTCCAATAGAGAAAGAAGTGGCCGTGGATCTTAATTGCTTTCTGGCCACTCAGCCTTGTCTAGTAATAACTCCTGATTCCTTTTAGAGAATGACCTCTCATCTTGGCATTCTTGGGTGGATTGTCAATCCAGGGGCTTGTTCATTTCTTTCAATACTAATATTCAAGATGCGGGACCCCCCCCCCACCCCGCCAACCCATGCAGTCATATTCATAGGTTTACTCATTTAGTACCAACGCCCATCGGTAGGTATCCCCAATTTCAGAGGTGGAAGCTGGGGTCTAGCCAGAATGAGTGACTCAAGTGCACAAGACTAGGAAGTGGCAGAGGCAGGAATCAAATCCAGGTGGTCTAGCCCCAAAGACATGTGCTTAGCACCAATGGATGCTGCTTTGCAAAGTCAGTGAGCTCATGTCTGAGTGTGGGTGCAGCTCCAACCTGCTGCAACTCTTCCCTCTCCGGAAATGCACATCATGAGGATGACACTGGACAGACGGCACTCCATGGTCTCAGGCACTGCTAATGTTCTGATGAGATTATTGTAGGGCTCCTCTCGCTGGCAATTCCGGAGCATCCCTCCTTACTCTCCCCTGTAGTCGGATCCTCATGCGTTCAGTGTCTTCTGCAGGCCACCCCACAAGCTCCAAATTCCCTTTGGATTTAAATTAGTCAGAGTCTGTTTTGGTTGCATGCCACCGGGAGTCCTAATAAATACAGAAATTTCCACAATTACCTCCAACACCTGGCATTGACAAAAAGCTTGGGGCTTCATAGCTATGCTAATGTTTGTGAAAGTGAAAGGAAATTTGGGCCCAAGGGAAGATATTTGTGCATAGGGAGAGAGAGTTCTAGGGATGCAGGAAAACAGGATGCAGGATGCAAGTCAAATATGTCAGGATTCCTAGGGTGCATATTTTCATCTCAATCACTGAGAGAAAAAAAATTGCTTTAGGTTCCTATTCCGGTGCTTTCTCCTTCTTCACTTGGATGTGAAGATTGAATGCTGGCAGGGAGCGGACCACCAATGGTGTCTCGCATGGGTTCAGACAGACATCAAAGTTAATCCTCTCTCTGATCTAAGCAAAATGGTAAGGAGGGCTTCCTGGGACAGCAGCTCCACTAATTGTGGCACTGCAGCCCAGCTGATGTATTTTTAGAATATTGTAGATTCCCAAGAATTATCATTACTTTCGGCAGGAAAACGGTCAGCTGAGAAGCTGGGAGTTTGGAAAGACACAAGAGCTGCTAGAGAATCCTCTGAACCTGTTCGTTTGAGGATGAGAATAAGGGGAATTGTTTCCTGATTTCTTGGGGGCTGGACTCTGAGTGCCGACTCTTCCGTATAAATATTTTTGATTTAGATCACTTGTCAAATTTTTCTTCTTTGATCTGTTCTTTATGTCTAAGAGATTTAACCAGATGTCTATTTTGGCTTGTCTCTTGTCACACTGTGAACGCCCCAGTTTTGACTAATATGTGTATGACTTCCAGACTTAGGTGTCCAGACCCAGCCTGGCTGCTGAACTCCAGCCTCAAGTGCTTGGTGGGCATCTTCATGTTCAAGACCCATTAGCACCTGCTCCCCCTCCTCGCTCTCAGTGCCAATGATCTTCCCCAGTCTCTCCTCAACCACGGTTCCTAACTGGTCTGGGATGAGTCATTCTCTTCATTAAACTGTTTAATTCATGGGGTAGCCAAAGTTAAGTTCTGGAAATACAGAGCTGGCCAATCACTGCTATTCTCAGAAGTCTAGTGTCTCTCTAGAGTATGAATTACTCAGCATGGTCCTCGGGCCCTGGTCTCATGCACCCCTGGAGTGAAGTATTATTTCTTTTTCTCTAGCTTGCCTTGCTCATGCCTGTGGCCATGGCTGATTGAATCAGCATGGGCACCTGACCCAGGACACAGTCAAAGGTGTCTCAGTCTAAATGGGGAATGGGGTGATCCAATCAGAAGCTCTGTCTCTGGAATTTCAGCTGGAAAAGTTGGGGAAACTTGAGAGGTTGGCAGAGGGAGCTGAGGTTGGACAGCTGCACAGGGAGAGGCAGTAGCCCCTGGAGGAGGGCTGTGAGTAAGCCAGGCGATGAGTCAGCAGAAGCTGTGAGAGAAAAGCTAAGTAGATGGGAGAAGGAATTGCCTGTAAGGAAATCACAGGAAGCAGAGAATGCAGGAGGAGAATGAAAATGAAGATCCACAGATCTCTGCTGCTGAGAA